CAAATATTGTGTCTGCTTCCATTCCCTCTCATTTCTCCTACAACCTTAATTACAAATATTTTGAACCTATTTTCTCTACACCTTCCTCTTTTCCTAAGTAGTCCATCCTTTTTGTCCACTTGTGCATTTTAGATATTTTCTTTTTAACTACTTAGTTCACTAAGTTTTTTCTTCAGCTGCTGCTATATCCATCCACTGATATTTCAATTATTGTTTTCCAATTTCAGAATTTCCACTTGGTTCTTTTCTGTATTTTTTTGTTGTTGTTGAAATTCTTAATCCTATCATTTATACTTAAATATTGTATACAGTTATTTAAAAATCTGTGCATGGTAACTCTAATTCTGTATTCCCACTGGATGTGTTTCCATTATCTGCTACTTCTGTTGTCTTTTGTGTCATTTTTCTTCTCATGTGCCTAATTTTTAAAATTCTTCACAATTTTATTTTTGTAGAAATAATTTGAGCTCTAAGATACTATTTCCGCACAGAGAGGATTTCCAGAGGATTCTAGCATTATTGAACCACTTAAATTCAACTGTAAAGATTGAGAAGATTCAAAATTGAGCTATAGTGCCCTAGGAAGGCCTGTCTGGTTCGTCCTTACTCTTTGTGTGCAGGCTTTTGGGGTCTCACATTGTCAAACTGAGAATTTATTAGTACTGTTTTCCTCACCCTTCACCTTAGCAGTCCCTAGTATCCACTGTTGGTGTCTTTTTCTATGAAAAATTTGACTCTTTCAAGTGCCCCTTCCAGAACCAGAAGATACTATAGAAGAAAAATGACCCCAAAACAGAACTCTTCTCTTCAATATCCATGTTATTCTAGATTAGCTTTTTTTTATTTTTTGAGTTGAGGTCTTTCTGTCACCCAGGCTGGAGTGCAGTGGCACAATCACAGTTCACTGCAACTTTGATCTCCTGAGCTCAGGGGATCCTTCCCTTAACCTCCTGAGTGGCTCATACCACAGGCAGATACCACCACAGCAGCTACTTTTGCTTTCTGTAGAGATGAGCTCTCACTGTATTGCCTAGGCTGGTCTTGAATTCCTGGGCTCAAGTAATCCTCCCACCTCGGCCTCCCAAAGTGCTGGGATTACAGATGTGAGCCAACATGTCCGACTGAATTCATCAATCTTTCACTTTCTAATTAGTTCTCTGATGCCTTTAGGTAGATTTTTAAAAAATAAATTATTTTGTCCAGCTTTTCCACTTCTCCTCAGGAGAAGAGTTGGTCTGTAGACCCGTATCTGTCATTATCAAAAGCAGAAACTTGGGTAAACGTTTTTGCAGGGAGGATATTAATTAGCAAAGTGATTTCAGCTCCAATTCCTATTTGAGTTATTCTGATATTTAAATTTATGGGAACAGTTACATATAACCCATTTGATTAAAAGTATTTTCTTTTTCTTTTTTTCAAAAGAAGAATGCACTTTAAGTTATATTTCCTGAGAAACTCTGGACTTGGAGGCTAGAATTAACGTGCCCTAACTTTCTGACGGACTTGGAGTAGGTGATCACATTCCATAAGTTTAGACCAAATAACTTCAGGATGTCCTTCAGTTCTCGAAGTTGTAATACTTAGTGATCTATCACAGAAATAAAGACCCGAGTACTACATGTATTCACTCATAAGTGGACCCTGAACATTTATCATAATACTGTAAGAAAGGGATTGGCAGTAGTGGGACACTGTTGGGGGGGTGGCATATAACATCAGTAAGGGTACCCAGTCTCAAACCAGGTGAAGTGGGGACCAAGGGGAGGCACAAACTTTACCCATACAATGACCACTTATGTACATAACCCTAAATTGTACCCCACATCTTTAAAACAAAAATTAAAAAAAAGAAAAACTGTGCAAAAAAATAAAATTCAGGTGAGAAACATCTGCTTTCCTAAATCCTTGGTCTTTGGCAGTGTCTAGGGTGGAGGGAGAAAGGGACTGCCTATGACAAGACTTTCATCTGAGACTCAGCCAGGAGTGCCTGGGAAAGGCTTCTGGATTGAGGGGCCAGAGACTGTCCCAGGAGTGCCCCTTCCTTTTCTCTCAAACACTAATGTATCTGTGAGGTAATAATAGATATCCCAAACTTAACATGCTCCAACTGCATTCTTCTATCATTGTTAAGGCTACTTCATTCTTCCAGTTGCTCAGTGACAGACACTTGAGTCATTCTTGTCTTTTCTCTTGAACTTTACATTGAACCCATTAGCAATAATCTCTTGGCACTCCTTCAGCGCATATCCAGAATCTGAGTACTTCTCACCACTTCTGCCATCATCCTCATTCAAACCACTATCACTTCCTGCCTGGATTACTTCAACAGCACATAACTGTTCTCCCAGCTCTCCTTTATATGTCTTTTCTTAACAAACGGACTAGAGAAATACTTCTAAAGCCCAAGAACTGCCACATCTTTGCTAAAAATTCTGTGACGCTTTTGACTTCATTCAGGGTAAAACTCAGAAGTCTATAAATCTGAGCTTGTAAGTCCATTTCTACAGGCTTTGTCCTTTGTCTCTATGACCACATTTCCTACTAATGTCTCACTGGTCTTGCTGTTTCTTCAATATGTAGCACCTTTGCCATTTGCCATACGCACTTTTTGAGATTAAGTTCTCTGGTAGAAAGAAAAAAATATTTTTTGTTTCGCTTTTGCCCATAGTATTGTTAAGTAGCTTTTATCATTACGTTGTATTTTAAGATTCGGTTTGCATCACCAGACCCTGAAAAGTCGGGTATGCCTTTTAAAGCTGAAGTTTATTCATTCCTATCTTGGAGATTCATCCCATCTCAAGCTGCCAGGAGATGAGAATTTGCATGGCTGGCTTAGTTGTCAGTTGCTTTCAGGAACTGATGCAGAAAAGGTAATATATATCAGAGCAGGCTAAGAAGCCAGACAGGTCCCTTAGTTTGCAAGGAACAGAAATTGTGAAAAACTAGTGAAATTAACACTGCACACCTGTGACCTAACAATCTCACTCCTGGGTATATTCCCTAGCAAAATAACTAAAAAAGGTGTTCAGAGTAAGACTATGTAAAAGAGTTGATTAAAAGCACAAATGGCCTTTATTGGAAGAATGAATGACTAAGCAATGTATAGCAGTTAAAAGCCTGAACTAGACCTGCATATAAACACAAGACCAGTTTTGTAAAGTATTTAAGAGTGAAAGAAATTGGGGGAGGGAATAGAATTGGGATGAGGGTAATGAGGAAAAAGTGAAATCAAATGTATAAAAATGAAATTAAGGCTGCACACAGATCAATGATTATAATGCACCATGGATGGAGTTCAAAATCAGTCCACACTGAGCACCCAAGGTCATTCGTTGATCAGGTCTGGGAAGAGGGTTAACATTGTATGGCAAACTATCAGAGGCCACTCTGTAGGCTAAATTGATACAACCCATAAACAGAGCTCTTGGAGCAGTTATTCAACAAGTATGTCTTCAGGGCCTTCTCTGTATCAGTAATTATTCTGTACATTAGAGACACAATGAACAACCCAAATATGGTCTGTTGTTCAGCATATTGCAAGTTCACACAGCCCACCCACATTTCTACATCCTTTTGGTTTTTTAAATAAAGGGATAGGAAATCTGGGGAAATGGTTTGCAAAAACACACATATTTATCTGAAGCATTTCCCAGACTGACTAACATCATAAAACAGTAAAAGGAAGTAAGTATGGAAAAAATGATATACTTACTGGGTCCCAGGAATCACTGTCACAATCACTCTTAGAAAAGTTTTAATGGTATCATGAGTTCCAAACAAAAAAACAATAAATGTAATCAATAATGTTTGGATTATCCAAGTTGTGACTAGCTATAAAGAGTTACCCCATCTTCTACAATTACTACAGAAAATGAAAAGCTAACTCTACCAAAGACAAATACCCATAGAGAACTGTTACAGTAATGTAATTCCTCAATTGCCCATGAAGTGACATTTCAAAGTCTTTTTCTAATAACACGTCTTTAATTTCATAAAATAATGCCAGTTAGTGACTATATCATTTGGTTTTTTCTCAATGGTGACATTTGATGTTGAAAAAGTCCTATACTATATCTCTACCACACATATTTGATTAGTGAGGTTCATTTTTGTTGTGTATCCTCTGATGCTGGTGAAGGATGACTTTATCAAAAGGTTTTCCCACATTTATCCCAGTTATAAGGCTTTTATCCATTGTGGGCTCTCAAGTTTGATAAGATCTGAACTTTAAGTGAAGGGTTTCCCACATTATTTATATTCAAAGAGCTTTTCTCCCATATGGAATCTTCATGCCCTTTACGCACTGAACTAACATTGTAAGCTTCCCTATAGTGGTGACATGTATAGTGGTTTGTCCCAGTGTAGATTTTTCTGATGCATAAGTCTGAGTTTTTGGTGAAGGCCTTCCTACGCTTTTACATTTATAAATTTTCTCTCCAGCATAGGTCTTCTGATGATTAGTAAGTACTAGCTTCCAAATAAAGGGTTCCTCTCCCACACTAAATTAATAAAATCTCCAGTGTGGATTTTCTGATGAGTGACCAAAGTTGAACCACAACTCTTTACTATACTCATCACGTCTATAAGGTTTTCCAATGCAGATTCTCTGATGTTTAATAAGGCTGTCACAGCACTCAAGGCTTTGCTACACTCATGATATAAATAAGGCTCCCATCCAAAATGAATTTAGTTATGCTTAGTAAGACTTGGGCTCACACGCGAGACCTTCCACACCGAAAATATTCAAAAAGGTTTTCTAACAAGATCCAGTACCTAAAAGTTTTGCAGCATTCTTTACTTTCATAAGACTCTTGTCCAGGATGGCTTCTGTGTTATTTGATGGGATTTGGGTTTATACTGAGGGTCTTTCCAGGCTGAAGATACTCATAGGGCTCTTTCCAGTTTCGACATACTGTTGTTTAAGTCAGAGATGCTTGTGTGCCAGGGTTTATTAGGGAGCGATAATTTCAGAACAATAACTTTTTCACTCATTTTACATTGAGAAGTTACTGTTTTTACTACAGTTACTGAAGTTGAAAATCATGCAAGCTGAATGAAGGGTCTCCCACTCCCAGAACATTGGCAGGATTGAGTTTCAGAGAAAATTCTCCAAGGTCTTTCAGATCCCTTTATCAGTGATATTCTTCTTAGCTTTAGGCAATGACTGTTGTGTGTCCTTAAAGGAACTCCCCTTTCGCTTTTATAAATTTTAGAAGCCCATAGATGTGTTTAGTGCGAGGCCCCTGAGGAATGCTCCTATTTAGTTCCCTGGACATTACTCGGTGATGGACTTCTTCTGGAATACTCTGTTTTGAAATGAAGTCCTTGTTTAAAGCCAGGAGTCACCACCTGAAAGAACAGGTTGATTATGCAATTAGCATCTTTTCCTGGAAGCAAAAATGGAGATTCAAATACAACGTACATGAAAGTAGCTTACAGAGGCAACCTACCAAAACATAGCTGTTTATACGTGAAAGCTCTGAATCAGGATATATATTTGCTATTAATTTCTGTTCTTATCTTTAGTATTTTCTTCCTTCTGCTTTCTTTGGGTTTAGTTTCCTGTTCTGGTACAAAGTAGGTCTCAATAAATGGTAGTTACTATGAGTAGTAGTATTATCACTAATGTAGAGCAGAAGTAAAAGAGATTTAATACTTATTCAAGATCTACTGTGAAGAGAATAATATAGAAAGCAGCAAATGAAAGACATTAACATCAACAGGGTATTTTACTCTGTACTTGGAGACAGTATGAAAATCTCAAAGCTGGAAGGTATCAGAGAATAACTGGATCTATCTAATCTTATCTATCTATGTATCTATCTATCTATTTAGGGTTTCACTCTGTCACCCACCCAGGCTGGACACAAACAATAATGCCTCACTGCAGCCTCGACCTCCTGGGCTCAGGTGACCCTTCTACCTCAGCCTTCCAAGTAGCTGAGACTACAGGTACATGCCACCATGCTGGGCTAATTTTTTTAAAAAAATGTTTGTAGAGATGAGGTCTTACTAAGTTAACCAGGCTGGTTTTAAACTCCTGGGCTCAAGTTTCGAACTCCTGCCTTGCCCTCCCAAAGTGCTGTGTCGCCTTTATTTTTAAGTATGTAGAAATTGAGGCCCAGCTAGGTGGCATTAGCCTAGGTAATTTGGTTACTAAGAGATAAAGACAGGTTTAAACTATGGACTTGAATCTTAATTTTAGAGTCTTTTTATTTATTTATTTCTTTTGAGTCAGGGTCTCAGTCTACTGCTCAGATTGGAGTGCAGTGGTATGGTTATGGCTCACTGCAGCTCCCAGCTCCTGGGCTCAAGGTATGCTCCTGTGTCAGCCTCCTGATTAGCTGGAAATGCAGGTTCATGCCACCACATCCAGTTAATTAAAAAAATTTTTTTTGTAGTGACAAGGTGTTGCTATGCTGCACAGGCTGGTCTTAAACTCCTGGACTCAAGTGAATCTCTTGTCTTTGACCTCCAAATTGCTGGAATTACAGGCATGAGTCATCATGCCTGGTCACTTTTAGAGTCTTTAATAAGTACAACTCACTGCCTCTTTAAAGCTGAGGGAAGGAATGCATGAACATAAGCCTTCAGATTAAAACTCTCATAATATAGTGAAGTACCTGTAAAACTTCTAAGCAACTCCACATTGTAACAGATTCTTTATATTAGCTGTTTTAGCTGCTTTAAAGCTGCTTAACCTAAAAATAACACCCTACATAGCTTTCCAGTAATCAGAGGTTCCTACACCCTTGGTTTCTGTAACCCAAGAGCCTACACCCTTGGTTTCCCTGATTATTAAAAACTCCATAACCACAAGTTCTGCATTTATTTGTATAACATTTGCACATTTTGCTCTTTAATTTTACTGAGTTTTATGTTCATGCTTTATGCCATGTAACTTAATGCACTTCAGGTTTGCACCCCATGCTATGTAGCCTATTCAGCAGTTTTTTGCCTTGATAACCCCCCCCCACCTCCGCTTCATTTGGGGTCGGGAGTTTTCAGAGGCACGAACCCCCTCCCGACCGCCGGCCATTCCACTGCCAGCTATTCCACCAGTGGCTCATAAAGGACTCATAATCCAACTCCTTGCATGTTGGCAACATTTTTCTTGCACTTCAGACACAACATTTGGAGGCCCCTGTGAGAAAATCGCCAACCTCGGGAGGTGGGGTCACTCCAGCTCTCCCCAGTTGGGAGGCACCCCTTGAGTCGCTCAGGGTCCCATAACCTCTCATCTGGCTGGGAGGGAGAAGGAACGACTGATAATTCTCTCCCACCTCAAAAGAAACTGAGTCTGTCTGCAATCTCTTGAGAGGTAAGTTCTTGTTTTGTTTTAAAACTCTGTTGAGAAGGACAGAGCTTGACGAGGCCGCTCCTTTGACTCTGCTTCGGTGACCTGAGACAGTAGAACAGAGTTGCGGTTGAGTAATTAACTTCTGATTAGACTTCTGATTAGACTGGGTACCTGCTTTGATTTCTGACTGCTTATGACATTTCCAGATTCTTATTATCCTTGGCCCTCTCCTTTCCTTTGCATTTTTGCTGTGCTCTTTGCTACAGTGCTTGCTTCTGCTGCACCTTTAAATTGGCCATCAGGTCAGAAACTTCTTTTGGTTTTTATTTATCTCTTTGTAATTGAAGATCTAATACTCATCATGTGCCTCCCGAGTTTTATTGGTTGTAACAACATGAGGCGATGGGCTTCAAAGTCCTCCAGGTCCCCTAGACTATAACTTCTCTGTCAAGTTTGTGAAGTATGGGTCCGTCTCTAATAAGGTAAACTCCAGGCCCTCTGTGAAATCAAACGGCCTTTGTTTAATGTCGCTGAATGTTCAATGGTTATCTCTAATCCAGAACCCTCCAACTTAACTCAAGGTATGTGCTTCAAAGACCCTTAGCCAGATCCTTAATACAGAAACTGGAGGAACTTACAGGAATAAATATTTCTCAGCTGCTTGGTGCATATAGCTAGCTGGAAATCAATTTGCATATTGTAAAAACTGGGACATCAGGTAAAAAAATTGCCCCCTTGGCACCCCAAGACAGAGACTAGAGGGGCTGTGTGGTTGTGAGTTTTGCATTTCAAAAATAACTCTAGTAAATTGCAGAGCTCATTTGAAATTGCAGTTTTTATTAACCTGCCTCTTAGAACAAAGTATGGCCATGCAAACTGAAAATAATAATAAATTTAATTTGTTACTGTTTTATATCTAAAATGTCAAGGTTATTAAATCTAAATTTATTTAATTATGTTTACAGGTATATGTTAAATCCGGTATGGTACCAAATTGGTTTTTAAGTAAATAAATGCTCATAAAATGTTTTTCATGTTCATATGACTTTAATAATGTTTTGTAAATAACAACTTTAAAATTGGTAAAAATAAAAATTTTTTTAACGTTGTTAACATACATGGTTATCTAAGTATACTGAAGGTTTTGTGACGTTTATGTTAAATCCTAAATTGTAAAATATCAAAATGTGATATAAATGTTCTAGACCGGTGGTTTTGGATTGGTTATTCTTGAAACAATAATTTACATAACTGTATTGTTGTGGGAATGACTAATTTAAATTACTGGTTCCAAGCAGCTGGCCTTAAAATTAAAAACAAACATTTTATTAATAATTTACAAAGTAGGGGAGTGCTTGTGTTTTTGGCTTTAAAAATCATCTGTTATGCCTGATTAACACCCTCAGGCTGTTGTTTTGGGTTACTCCTCTGTCAGATAAATCCATATTGGGTATTCTCACACAGATTGCCCACACTTTACAACTCAAACTACAAATTAATAATTTGTAAAGGTTTTTAACGACTTTAGGTGGACCGTGTGGATAAAATAATCTGTTCTTATTCATTTACTGGGAGGACGGATCATTGCATGTCCCTGTGGCCTGTTCCCTTTATAAAAACTTTACAAGACAGTCAGTGATAGTTTCATATGCACAAGCTGGTTTTATTAAAAAAAAAAAAAAAAAAAGTTTTAGGGTTTGTTAACCAAACCAAATCAGTGCCAGCCTGGAGGGCAGCAGAGCCAGAGGGCCAAGAAAGCACCCCAATTGGCAGTCACAATTGGCAACTAAAACTCCAGACGCCCATAAAACAGTTGGTAACAATGGACCAGCTAAGGGGATGGTGTCCATTGCTTATGGGTACAGTCTATAAGAGCACTGGAAGTGTAGTTGCCCTAAAAGGCCTTAACCTCCTGGACCTTGTCCACCATGCAGGCCAAATAGCCATTGGGAGGCAGGTACACTCTCCTTTGAAGAGAGGGGAGAACACTTGGCTTGCAAATGGTGGCCACATAGGAAGGCCTAATAACCTGCTAAACTGCCTGGCACTGGCTCACCATCACTCCAACAACTCACCCCCCACCCAGGTAAACACCAGGGCACTGGAGCCCAAATTAAGTTCAAGTTAACACAGGTGCCAGTCTTTTGGTTCTGGCCATCCATGCTGACATTTAGGTAACTAGATTAAATCTTAAAATTGCCAGTCTGGCTACATAAATAGTTGTAAAAGTTATTTGTTATAAATTCAGATTTTTTTATAAATTACTTTTACTTTCCAGCATTGTTTCTAAGCAATAGCCTTTTCCATCATTGTCTGCTTAATAATTCAGTCTGTGTTCTCACTTAATATTTGGTTACAGTCCCACTATTTCCTGTTTATGTCCTTGAAAATAAAGAGAAAAACAAGACATCTCTATGGCCCACCTCAGCAGGAAGTAGTTATGGAAGACTGACCTTTGCCCTAGTTCCTAAAATTATAGAATGTTTCCAGGGGCAAAAATAAGAAAATAAAAAACAACCCAAAAGCGAGAAGCTATTTTTGTTTTTTACTATAAATAAAGGCTGTGTCCTAAAATCATACATGGTTTAAGTACAAAATTAATTTTGTCCACCTTGCTTTTTAGAGAACACAGACTTGAAAAAACACTTCTTTTTTCTTCTTTTTAAAGAAAAATACTGATCAATTTTTGTTAAAGTATTTCCAGTCCCTCCAACAGGTCCAGGCTACTGTCCACTCCAACGGCCATGCAGTTTTGCCAACCCCTTTGTCCATGCCATGCCATCCATTTCTGCCTGGAAACCTGATCTATGTCAAGAAGTTCCAGAAAGAAGGACTGGCTCCAGCCTGGAAAGGACCCTACATTGTCATCCTCACCACCCCGACGGCACACAAGGTTAATAGGATTCCAGCTTGAATTCACTACTTGTGAGTCAAGAAAACCAGGTTCGACGACCTTCATGACAACATACCACACTCGAATCTTTGGACTGTACAAAAGGACCCTAATAATCCTCTTAAAATCACCCTCCGAGCTCACCATCCTGTTCTA